TTTCTGGGGTTTTTTATTTTGATTTGTTTATTTGGGGGGGGGGGGGGGGGGGGGGGGGAGGGGGGGGGGTTGTTTCACAAAAAGTTTTTCAAGGATGAACCAAAATCATGGTAGTTCACCATTAACTTCACTGATTTGGGATGTGCTTGGTCTGCTTTTCCACATTCAGAATCTCATTAACTCACCTGAAAAATCATCAGCATTAATTTTCAGGAACACTCAATGCCAACAATCTTTGCCAGATCAAGTCTCATCCTTTCTGCTACTTCTAAATCACCAGTGGGTCTTCCTCAAGGCTCACTGCCCTGGAACTAATGAAACACTCAGCACCATTCTGCTGGGTAAGAATTCAGAAGACAGGCAGGTGAGCCAATTCCCTCCCTGCAGGATGCTCAGTCCTGCTGGTACAGAGCAGACAGAATTATTTTGCCTTCATAGCTTGCAAAGAGAAGAGAGCTGGTCAGTAGCAGATGTTGGTGAAGGTGAGTCTTACAAAGCAATTAAGAGATGTCACCACCCGAGGCTGACCCAGAGAGCTGCAACAGAAGATTCCCGCAGTGGGGTAGAGGTGGCAATGTGTCAAATGTAATCAGCTCTCAGCAAAAGCTGGACTTGATGGTCCTTGTGATTCCTTTCCAACTCAGAATATCCTGTGATTCTGCAAAAGTGCCCTTTAAATTTTCTCTTCAGTGACAGCACCAGCAGCACTGTTGCAGCATGAGCTGCTCCCTTTCAAATCTACTTCATATTTGAGATCAGTATTTTAGAACACTCCTTCCCCACAAGTGGAGTAGTGCTTTTAGTTCTTTCTTCATATTTCATAGTTCTCAGACAGCTGAGTTCCATCCATGTTTATCCCTTGCCATGTTAATGAAACATGTGTGATCCACTGTCCTCTATCCTGACAAGGCTCTTTCCAACTGGAATTACATTCTGATTAACCAATATTCCCCAGAGAACTTCAGGAACATCCGAGTGTGTAGCTAGAGAACATTTAAAAAGTAGTTTCCTTAGACAGAAAGAAAAGGCCATGAGTTTTCAATATATAGTTGGAAAAGTCTGCTGAGCATCCTTAGGAATGCATTTGTAAGTATATGCAGAAAAATCCAAAGTAGAAATCCTTACAGATAAAGAAAGAGAGGCAGGAGTAAGATTTTGGAGCTCAGAAGGGATTTTTGGGAATTGCTGTGAATTACAACCATGGCTTCTGCTCCACAGACCAGAAGGCTGCGCTTATCAGCTCTACAGAAAAATTTAAGAAAAAAAAAAAATCGCATTAACCTGCATGAAACCAGAGTGGTTGTACCTGCAAACTATTAGCAGTTCAGCAACTCACTCTCATCATTTGGGTGTTTGGACAATGCTTTCAGGCATTGCTGTAATTTTTAGGACTGTCCTGGGCAGAGCCAGCATGCAGAGCTTAATGATCCTTGTGGGTGCCTTCCAAGTCAAGATAGCCCATGATTCTACAGCCATAGCTGGGCATTGTGCTCAGTACTATTGGTCTTGGGGTTTCAGTAATTTTGGAAGAACTCGAGCAATGAAACCAGAGCAGAGTTAGTCCATTAGGTATTGTGGCCCATTTTTGGCACACTGATTTATGCTGTATATCTCACATAATTGTACTTTCATATAAATGATTGACATTCTGAATCTTGTGATAGTATTGAAAATGTACATTGAAGTTTTTATGAGTTTCTGAATGAAAGCCTTTTAAAAATACTGATTCTGTCACTAGTTTTTGAGGTAGTTATTGTTTGGTTTTTGAAATTTAGAGGTTTTGTTTGGTTGGTTGGGGGTTTTTTTGGGTTTTTTGGTTTTTTTAGGGTTGGGGGGTTTTTTTTGCTGTTTTGGGGGGGGTTGTTTGGTTTTGAGGTTTTTTTGTTTGGTTGGTTTTGGTTTTTGGTTTTTGTGGGGTTTTTTTGTTTGTTTTTTGGTTGTGTTTTTTCTCCAGGAAGAAACGTCTTTACTTGATGACTTGTTTTTGACCAGAACAAAAAGAAACCAGGAACAAGTCCTTCACCCTTAGCAGACTGTAAGCTCATTCATGGAAAAATTGCTCCTGTACTTGGCTGTGATTCCACAGAATCACATGTATTCCCCTGTATATACAGGGGAAGTTCTGAATTCAGAGACTTCTGGAAGAAATCAAACTGGAAGAAATCAAACTGGAAGAAATCAGACTATCTTGACAGATCACCTTCAAGTGATGTGAAACATAGCACCTAAACTCCGACACCAGTTTTAAACTTGTTTGCCATGAGGAAAACAATGTATTTTCAAAATATACATAGTACCCAGACTGGCTGCCACTTGGAATGGCATATTAAATAGCTGTAAATAGCAGATTAATTGCAGTAATTTCCTTTCACAGCAGAAACTCTTGGAGAACTCCAGATTTAGCTGAAACTGGGTGCCAGTCCCCAAAAACTCATTGTGCCCACAAGTGGTCAACCCATTCCTGATGTTGGCTGGTGCTGAGGAGCCCACCAGAGTCCCCTGGCCAAACAGAGATTCTCCTCGATGGTCTTTCAAAAAGGAATTTCTAAAGCTTGTGCAGTTTTTGTTGGTTCCACAGCATTCAGAGAGCCCAAACCTGGGCAGGGGGTTTAGGCTGCACAAAGAACTCCAGGAGCCCAGCGTAATGTGGGGACCTGCCAAGAAGAGAAAACAAGCTGGATGCAGGACTAGAAAGGATACTAAGTTAACAGATAAAACAAAACTGGGAGGAGCTGTTGATTCCCTGGGAGGCAGAGACCTGCAGACAGACCTCGACAAATTAGAGGGCTGGGCAATCAACTGTATGAAGTTTGAAAAGGACTAGTGCCGGTTTCTGCATCTGGAACAGGGCAACCCTGAATGGAGAGACAGACTGGGGAACTAAAAGAGGGAACTGGAGGTCCTGGTTGATGGGAAGTTGGATATGAGTCAGCAGTGCCCTGGCAGCCAGGAGGGATAAGCCTGTCCTGGAGGCATCAGGCACAGCCGGGCAAGGGAGGGATTGTCCCGCTCTGCTCTGCACTGGGACAGCGTCACCTCGAGTGCTTGGGGCAGTTCTGGGTGCCACAAAATGAAAAAAGGATTAAAGCTATGAGAGAGCTTCCAAAGGAGGGCCACAAGGAGGGTGAAGGGTCTGATGGGGAAGCTGTATGAGTAGCTGAGGGCACTTGTTCTGTTCAGCCTTGAGGAGTCTGACGGGAGAGCTCACTGCAGTTACAACTTCCTCATGAAGGGCAGAGGAGGGGCAGACATTGATCTCTTCTCGCTGGTGACCAGCGACAGGACGTGAGGGAACGGGCGGAAGCTGTGTCAGGAGAGGCTTAGAAAAGGTTCTTCACCCAGAAGGTGTTTGGGCTCTAGAACAGGCTCCCCAGGGAAGCGGTCACAGCCCCAACCCTGACAGAACTCAAGAAGCGTTTGGACAGTGCTCTCAGGCACACAGCGCGAGTCTTGGGGTGTCCTGTGCAGGGCTAAGAGTTGGACTCGATGATCCTCGTGGGTCCTTTCCAACTCAGCGTATTCCGTGATTCTGAGTTTATTGACAATCGTGAGTACCAGAGCTGGTTTCGCTTTTCCCCGCCGGGGCCGCGCCGCTGATCGGGCGCACGGAGGTGACGCCTGAGGGGCGGGGGCAGCGGGGCCGGGCCTGCACCTCTGCCAACCCCGCCGGGCGCTCGGGACTCGGCGGGAAGAGAGAAATTTTCCGCTGCGGACGAAGCCTTCGCTTCCCCGCGGAAAGAGCGGAGCGGGGTTCCCGAGCGCCCGGGCCGGGATGTGAGGGAGGCGGTGGCGCGGCCGTGACGCGGCGCGGGGCGGAGCGGGAGCGGGAGCGGGTCGGTCCGGCCATGCCGAAGCGCTCCTGCCCCTTCGGGGACGCGGGCCCGCTCCAGCTGAAGACCCGCGTGGGGCTGCGGGAGCTGAGCCGCGGCGTGCGAGGCGAGGAGTACCGGCGGGAGGTGTTCGGTGAGCGGGGCGCGGAGACGGGAGCGCCGGGCCCGCCGCCCCGGCGGGGGGATGTGCCGGCCCGCCGCTCCCCCTGGCCCACGGTCACGCATGGGGAGCCTGCCCCTAACTCTGCTCTCCTCTTCCGCCGGCAGAGAGGACCCGGCGGCTGCTTTTCAGGGGAGCCCAGGCGTACATGGAGGGCGCGGCGGCCGCAGCCCGTGCGGCGGAGCCGGGGCCGGCCGGGGAGGCGCAGGGCGAGGGGCCCCGCTGGAGCGGGCAGCTCCTCATCGGCCACGACGGGAAACTGCGGCGGCGGCCCGCGGACAGGGGTGAGTGCCATAGAGCCGCGCGGTACCCTGGGCTGGAAGGGACCCATCGAAGCGCAGCTCCTGTCCTGCCCAGGACACCCCGACGTTCCCACCATGAGCCTTGGAGAGTTGTCGGAATGATCCTTGGACTCTGGCAGGGTTCTACTGGCAGGTGACTGCTTTTCTGGGGAGCCTGTTGCAGCTCCAGACCACCCTCTGGGTGAAGAATCTTTTCCTAATATCCAGCCTAAACCTCCCCTGACTTAATTTGAGGCCATTCCCTCTGTTCCTGTCCCTGGTCACTACAGAGACCGGTACAGCCCCTTGGCTTCCCCTCCCAAGCAGGTCTGGACTATAATGAGTAGTTTGTGCTTTGTAGTTCTTTATTGACTTTCCTTAAAGGAAATGTTAGATTTGAGCTGATGGATTTCGGATCTGCCGCGTGTATGTTCTGCTGTAGCATCACTTAGCGCCTTGCCACTGAACAGAGAAATAGCCAAGAAAGTTCCAAGCGGGGCTCCGTGTCCCTTGGCATGCCCGAGCATCCCGCGGAGCGCTGCCGCCTGTAGCTGTGCGCGGACGCTCTGCAGCTCCTGGGACTTCCAGCTGCTCTCTCTGCCTTTCTATAAAGCTCATCCGTTCTTTACCGTGTCTTTGCCAAGCAGTTCCACCCGTGGGAGCGTCCAGAGCCTGCTCGTCGTGTGTGAGAACGGCCGATGTGAAGGACGTGTGTGCGCAGTGTGACCGGCTCGTCTGCCAGAGCTGCAGCAGGCTCTGCAGCTGCTGTAACACGGTTACCTGCTCTTTGTGCTCCGCTGTTGAGTAAGTGCCTTTCGAGTTCGGAAGCTCATTTTAATTACACATGCCCTAATAGCTGGGTGCAGCAGATATCTGGCTCGTACACATAAAGGAGTTAAACTCTTCCCTTGCTTTAGCAGGAGTGAAACTCTCTGAAACATGCAAACCAAGATGCTTGTGTGAAGCACTCTAACCAACCGTAGTGCAAATCTAGTTCAGCTTCTTATTTAAATGCTGTAGGAGGCAAAAATTTCTCTTGCTTTCCCACCAGCAATATAGCATGCTGACCAGTGCTGAATGCATGCACTTCCAAGGAATAATCTTAATTTTTTTTCCTCATTGTTAACAGTTCTGTGTTATAAAGAAACGCTGAGTGTGCTGTGTGGGAGTTCCGTGGTTGCAGTTGATAATGGAATAGTATGCCGTTGTTATGTTCCAGAAACAGTAGGCATACTGACTTTTGTTTCATCTGGTTTTTTTGTTGTTTTCTTTTTTTTTCCCTAGTTATGGTGATGTGGGAGAGCAAGTTCTCTGCAATGGTTGTTCAGTATTTCAAGTCTGAAACTTGGTGAAATAACCCTTGTGGCTAAAACGTCCATGAATTTCATGAAGTCTTCTCCTTACAGCTGGTCAACTAATCCTTTTAGCATGTGAATTAGTTATGGAATTTCTATGTTTTATATCTTTATATTGTACTTTTAAATATTGTAGCTAAATAAACATTTATATTTTAAAGCTTTTTAGATTATTTTGAGTCAGATTTCTCCTTTTCCCTAGTTGTGATATGCCTGTCTGGAAGAGACCACTCTTTGCTATTACCTGGTGTTCCTGATGTGATACAGGATTCAGAATATTCTCTCTGCATGTTGGTCATGTTAGGACACACTTTTGTGGGATCAGAATAGAAATCAGTTGCTCCTTCTGTGCTTTCAGGTGAGTGTGAATCCATTCTGGACACACAACATTTTCTTTGTAAGATAACTGGGAAATTCAGCCAGGCCTGAAGGCTTTTCCAAATAAGAGAATTTGCTGATTCTGGTTACGGTTTTTTTAAGCTATCACAAACATCTTGTGCTTACTGACATCTTGAATGGTTGTAATCTTTCTATGATAACTTTGATAGAAAGAGTAATAGCACACCAGGCTTGAAGAAGAAAAATTTTACTTATTAGTAAGTTTTCCAATACCTTCACTAAAAGGTCTTTCTTGGAAAGCACCTTATCTGTATGAGTTGATCATTGATACTGTAAACTTCATATTGTCCTGAACACCCACTCAGAAGTAGCTCATGAAGTGGTCTGAAAAATGGTCAGCACTCAGGGGTACTTCTCCATAAACAGCTCATTCCTCATATTCTTTTCAAATCACTGCAGAGGCTTAATATTGTTTGTGCTGTAAGACTGAAGTAAAGTACTACTGGACAGCCCCTCAAAGCAGTTTTCTTTTACTATTTTTGTTATGTTTCATTAAAAAAAGATTTTTCATCTGACAAACCACCTCTGCCTAAGAGAAAACTACAGTGGTCTTTACCTCAGGAAAATGCTGATTTGAGTGGCTGATTTCAGACTGTAAGATAAAAGGAATAGATTTTGACACACACAAGAAAAGAAATCCTTGTGGCACAGCTGTTGGTCTGTTTCTCAAATTCTTTGTCCTGAATTCCTGAAGCAAAGCCTGCCATTCATGCTTCCCAGTCTTCTCAGCTGCAATTAGTGTATTTTGGGTGGAGTAACCTTGTTTTACCTGTTTCCCTCCACTTCAGCCATTTCTGTTTGAAGAGATGGAAAGGCCATTGCAGTGCAATTTGAGAGCCTGACTTCTCCCTCGTGGGCATCCCTTTATCTGACATTCTGTTGGAAGGATTCTGGGTATTTGTCTGTCAGAATACTGCAGCTACCCAAAGAGAAGGGTAAATGCTTTAGCAAAGGATGGGGGTGGCTGTTGCTAGAGAGCAACTCTTAATAACTGCACTGGCGTGGCTTGGGGTGTATCAGCCACATGAAGTGCAGGATGACATCCTCTCTAGCCTGTGTAGCACTTTATGTAACTATGCAGACACACTTTAAAAGCATTTATACCTTTTAGGGTTTCCTGGGGGGTGTCACTTCACTCTCAACCTTCTGTGCCAGCTTAGACTGACCATCTGTGCCAGCCTAGACATGCTGATGGGTCTGGTTAGTTTTCCTGTTCTGCATGTTTTAGAGCCAGTTAAAATGGGAGACTTTACTAGTTCTTACTCCAATAAGTTACTCCACTTCCTTTTGAGCAACTGTGAAATGTATCTTCATTCCTGTTACAAACAAATAAAGTCTCAAGTCAGGTGAATTAGTAGTGAAATAATTAGTTGGAATGTGCAGGAATTCTACAGCATTATCTGTCTTTTCAAAGCACTAATAAATGAAGTCAGGATGGTGGCAGATCTCTGGTGCAGTTCCCAGCTGTTATCAGGGCAGATAAAAAAGTTGCTCCTGTGGCAGTCGTTTTAAACCACAAAGGTGAGTTTTATGGATGGGAAGAATCTGTGATTTACTATGTTTAGATGTTAGTTTTAGGAAAGAGTTTTAAAACTTGGCTTTGTTTCATTTGAAGCTCTAAGGAGTGAATTAAAGTGTTTTTCAGTCAAGCGTATTTTTCAAAATGAAACCTTTAAGTATGTGTCTGCTTTTTCTTACTTTCTCCTGAGGGTGAGAGACTGAAAATAATGATTTGCTTCTAGGCTCTGGGAGAGATGAGACATGTTGTTTACAAATGATTTGTGTTTCAAACTAGTGATAGAAATGGTTTTTTGGCTCATTTAGTCACTGCTGTATTTCATAGAAAGCTGTCCTCTGTAAACAATTACATGGATTTCATGGCTTAATGTTCTTATTTGTTATCTTCTAGCTGCTTGAAAGATGGTTGTGCATTAGGATAGATACCCAATGCAGCATGAAGAGCTGAGAGAAGAAAAGCAGAAGGGCTGGAAGAAAGTTAGAGGCTGGGAGGAGAAGGGCAGGAGCAGCACAGATCAGCATGGCCAACTCTTGCATGGGGAGGTGCTTCATACATGAGAAATGGGGTTTAGTGGGTACCACATCTGCTTCTCTGGCTTCTGAAGGTGAGAAAACTGCCTGGGTCTACCAAAAGACTCAAATATTATTCAGGAAAGTTCTTTCTCTAGTCCTGCAGTTCTCAGATAAACAATGGGAAGTTAGACTTGAGACTGTTTGTACATCTTTATAACATCTACAGGAAAAAAACCAAACCTGTGTGAAGGGAAAAATCTTTGGGTGAGAGGTACAAAGATTTTTCTAAGTAACTCTTCCTCACAAGGGCTTGTCTGTTGCCACTGATCATCGAGCTGTGATAGAGTTAGAATGCAACACTTAGAGTACCCCTAGGACTGTAAAGGAGAGCCAGAGAAATTGTCTGGTTTATTAACTGAGCAGGAAATTTGATTTAATACTGTGCTTTTTTTTTCTTCCCCTCCTACTCACTGCAAAGTGTCAAAAATCAAAGTTTGCCTGCTGTTCCAAGGGAAGGAGATCCCCTGAGGAGCCAGCATATTGATGGGTAAAAATATCCTGCAGTAATGATTTTACAGATGGATGAGAAACTTCTGAGGCCTGTATATCATTACTGGTGACATATGTCTCAAAGAGCAGACCTTTATGTCTAAAAGGAAGTCAGCTGATCTCATCAGGAGAAAACAATTTCTTTTAAGATTAATAACTGAGTAAATTCTAGAAATGTGTGGTTTCATAGACACCAGATATTTAAGGACATTCTAAGGTGGTAAATGACTGCAGTAGTCTCTGGTATCTCCAGGCTGTATTAGAGCACACCCACAACATTGTGAAAAACCTCACTGAAAAGAACAAATACACTTGAGTTGTCTCCTTCAACCGCATATGTCCTGTGCACATAGTAATTCTCATATTTTGCAGTTCAGTCCAGAAGTCTGCTTTCTTTCTCTCCAAGAGAAAAGTGAGCCGTTCTACAGATGATCCAGACAACATGAAAATTAAAAATAAATAAATATTAACTCTCCATCCTGTGATTGATGTGTTTTTTGTTTAATACAGCCAGCACCTCAGCCTCTTCTGCTCTTTTTTGTTTTAGCGTCGTACACATTTGGGCCCTGACTTGCTTTTTTTGGTATTCCTTTCTGAACAGGTGGTAACTAGATGCAGTTGTATTTTATCTCAGGACAGGGCATAAACCCCAAATAACGTAGGTGAGAGTGAAAGACAATGTTCTTTGTTTCCTTACGAATATGGGTAAGGCATTTATGCTTGGCTTCTGTGCTGTGTTTGCTGCCATCAGCTGTGACATTCAGAAGTGGCAGCAATATGCAAAGGGCTTAAATCTTCTCAATCTTACTTTGAAGAGGCCCAGCCAAGAAGTAGAAATGGAAACTGTATCTTTGTCCCCAGGTTTGTTGGGCCTGTTTTCTTTTGAAAACACTCAATGGGCCTCTGGCTGGATTGGTTAGACAGCAGCAAATGGCAGCCCCATGCAAGGAGTAAATACTTCTCTCTTTCACCATGCTCCCTGCCAGTCATTGCATGATGGCTTTGGGTTTTGACAGGATCAAATTGGATTAAAAAATTGAATCCCAGCAAAACGTACCTGTCATTAAGCTCCCAGGTATGGAGTATGTGTACAAACTTGCATCTACTGCTGCACTGTAACTTTTGGTTAGGTGTGATACTGTTTCATCATGGCAAATTCTGCAACTAAAAGCTCTTTGTGCTGCCTTTACTGCCCCTTTGGATTCCAAGCGCGCTGACTACCTGGACATTAAGCCTTTTGTGCTTGTTGGAGCTCCGGCTGGGATAGAGTGTGGCAGAGTATCTCCACAGTTCTGTGTCTATCAAGCTTTGTCCTCTATTCCTTGCAGTAGTTTACCATTGATTGTGAGACTAAGCTTAGATCCCAGTTGTCCAAGCAGAGGGAGGAAAACCTCAACCCATCCAAGAGCAGCACTCAGACCGTGCAGAACAAAATTGCTGCAGCAGCACAGGAACTCCAGAGCCCAGCCTTGCAGCCCAACCTCGGGTGTGGCAGCTTGGAAAAGGAGAGGGATGGGGGGGTCTCTTCCCAGAGAGCATCCTTCTCCCAGCAGGCTTTTAAATGAGGACAGGTAAGGCTGAGAAACACCACCTGTGCCCCCGTGTTCAGTAACCTGGTCCTCTTTCCTCCACTCTCCTTAAGGCTTTTCACTACTGAGAAGGGGAAGGGAGCAAAGCTTTGAACTTTGTTTCAAATGTTTTGTTTCAAAGCTTTGAGTTGTTTTTAGTGAGGTAAATCAGTTAACCTATTAAAAGTAACCAAGAGGCCTCAGAAAATGTTAATGATTCTTTAAGAAGTAAGTAGGAGCTACGTAGTTTAAAGACAAATACTTCTTGTGGGTAGAAAATTGGAAGAAAATTTTTCTAAATTACTTCTTATTTTACATTATTAAAATTACAATAGGGTGAAAGTGATCACACAATCAGTTGTATATTTTAATGGCTAATACACATGCACACACATACATAACTTTTTTGGTATAGATATTTTATATTGACAGACATTGAAATACCATACCTTTTACAGTTGATTGCGTTTTGAACTGCTACAATTATAATACAAGCTTTAGTATTTGCTGATGGTGTGTATTCTGGGCTTTTGTTATTTTGTTTTCTTCTTCTGGGAAAAAACTCAGCTGGAATCAAAATTTTTTTTCACTTTTAATTTATTAAAAGTTTTTAGTTCTCCTGGTTGTGATTTGCAATAAAACCCTGTATAGATGTTAAGTTACTTATCTCTTGTAGAGTTTATTATTGCTTGAACATTTTGAGATTATGGGAATTACTTTAAATTTTAGGATTTATTTAACTGTATTTTCTTACATTGTTTTGCTCAAGTGTAATAGTTTAAATAATTATCCCCTTCTCATGTATTTTTTCTGTAAGATGCAGATATTTTTTCTGTTTATTCATTCCCAGTTGAAGGTTTTGAGGACAGGTTTTCCTAGATAACCTGAGTTCTTAGTTCTCCTAGATAAGCTGCACAGCCATGTCAGAACCCTGATGGTGTCACCAGGTACTGTCCCGATCTGTTCTGTACGATTTCTCTTAAACTTGCACCGAATTCCAACAGCTGCCAGCGGCTCCTTGTGCAGAAGTGCTCTTTAATCTGATTAGAGGCTTAAAATAAATCATAATCCCTCCTCCTACCTTTGCAGTGGCAGTTTCATCTTCAAGCCACAGGGTGGCAGCACGACGTTGGGTTTATGTCTATTGCCCAAATCCTCCTTTTTTTTTCTCAAGTCCTCACTGCTCAATTGATCCTGTAATAATTGGACTGCAAGTCTGGGGAGGAAGTCTGTTTTAAAATATTCCCCTCGTAAATCTATAGGTCAAATGTTCCCATTTTTCTTTTAATCCCATATTTTTTATATCATTCATAAAATATGGCCTGAAATTCAGAACAGACCGTTTTGTTGCCTGCAAAGACAAGAGCAAAATGTAAATCAAATGCAAAAGCATAAATTGATGCCATTTTTTTTCTTTGAATTCTAATGTATCAGTATGACAAATAAGGGTGTCTATATGCCAACATGTAAGTTATGTCACATTTTTCTTTTTAAAAAAGCCTAACAACAAAAAACAGCAACGAAAAACACCCCCACCAAAAAAAAACCCAAACAAACAAACAAAAAAAAAAAACCAACAATCCAAATATTCTCATTATACTTTTCTTTGCATTTAATTAACATATCTTACCAAGTTGCTTATCATAAAGATGTGAAAGAGTACAGTGATGTCCATGCCAAGAGTAGGACTGTGAATCTGGACCAAGAAATGTGCAGTGGGGTGCTGACTGGCACTGGCACCTGAAGAATTGCCCTGGTGGTGGCGGAAAAAAGGTGAGAGTTGTGCCATTCTTTGAGGAGAACGATTTGGGTATGATGGGCTGCTCAGTCTGACCTCACTCCACAGGAATGTTGTAGTGTGAATCCTCACAAACGCTGTGTCCAGCTCTACACCCAGGCACAGGAAGGGTGGGAACATAATTGGGAACAGTCACACAGATTTATCAAAGACCTATTACATCTGACCAGCCTCACTGGCTTTTCTGATGAGATGAGCAGCACTGGATGAGAGGAGAGAAATGAAGGTGTTCTTGCCAGGGGAAAGGCAAACCTTGTTGGGCTGCAGGCGCAGAGGCAGCACAAACCCCCCTGTGCCAGAGATCCTGAGCTGCTGCTGCTGCACACGAGACTTTAGTGTCCCTGGAGACGCTGCAGTGCAGAGAAACGACACAGGGGAACAAGAAAGCCTTTCCAGGTCACACATGGGGCACATCTGAGCTCTTCACAAGGATTTCAGGAGTTTTTGGTTACTGCAAGGCTGTGTATGGAGGTGTGATGCTTTTGCAGAGACTTAGAGGTTTTACAGTACCGTTGAAACTGTTCAGCACTCTTGAGATCTGCTGCTTTCTTCTGTTCTCCTGAGCATTGATTGCTGCTGCCAGAAATGAGGAACTGGTAAAAGGCTATGTGGTCTGAGTATGTCCACTCTTACATCCTGTTTACTCTGCTAGAACTACTGATATGATCAAACTTACTCATATCCTTGGG